GTAATAATTTATTTCTGAAGAGTGACATTTCATGTGCTGTGATTAGGTTTAAATCTCAGTCTTTGGGGGCCCTCTATGGAAAGCACTAGACACATAGCTGATGAACATACAGCTTAGTTTCTTATTTCTTCTGCATCTGCACCTTTCCTGTCAATGGGCAGAGCCACTACCACGCATGCAGTTATGCTGTGCCCTTTCCTGCCCCTCACTTAGTCTGTATACAACTTCCCACCCTTAATACTGAAGTATTCTCTTGATGATTTATGCTCTAGTTATTTCCCTGCTGTTTGGAGTCTGACAATTCCTAGAGTCAATCCCATAGGATAGAGCACTCATATCCAGTCATGGACACGGAATTTTGGATTCATAGAAATGTAGAGACAGTCTGATCTAATTCCTTCATCGGAGATATAAGAAAGCTAAGACCCAGAGCTGCCCGTCAACATGGACAGACTGGGCTCCTGCATTGATCTCTGTTGCTTCCTGGCATATCAGACTAAACTAAGAGTAAAGGGACTTTTTAAAAAGCATAAATCCACAAGGATAGAAAGAACAAGAAAGAAGAAGAAGCAGACAAAAGATGTCAATGACACTTTGAAGAAAGCGCTTAGAAAGAACATAGCTGCCTCAGTAGAGAGCACAGGTGGTGTCCTCAGAGCCTGCAGAGAGGTTGCCAGCAACAAGCTTGGACGCGAACACTGCAAAGGCTCTAGGACTGGAGGCTCAAGCCTCTTAGAAGGCACGAGTTGTGGGTAAAGGGGCCAGGTGTAGCAGGTAAAGCTGCTGCCTTCAACATCAGCATCCCATATGGGAGCAGGTTCGTGTCCTGGCTGCTCCACTTCAAATGGCTTAGGAAAAGGAGCAGCAGATGAATTAAGTACCTGGGGCCCTGAACCCACATAGAAGACGTGGTTGAAGCTCCTAGATCCTGGCTCTTGGCTTCTACTTGGCCCAGCACCGGCCATTGTAGCCATCTGGAGAATGAACCAGTAGATAGAGGATTCTCTCTCTCCTCTCTCTCCTCTCTCTCTCCTCTTCTCTCTGTAACTCTGACTTTCAAATAAATAAATAAATATTTTTTTAATTTATAATACAAGTTGATTTATTACACCAATATTGATTATGACATCATAAGGCTATTAACGATATTATAATTAATTTTGACATCATAGTTGTAGAGTCAAGATGTTACAATGACTTTATAATATCAAAATTGATTTTGCCATCATAATCATTTCATAATGTAACAATTTTAGTTCTGTGACATTGCAATCATTAAGTTAAAACATCACATGAATTTTGTACATGCCATTACAAAGATTGTGACATCACAATAGTGCTGTATGACCACAATTCATTAATATCACCTGCATTTCATTTACATCACAGTTGCTTATAATGTCACAAGGTAGGTTTATGCCTTCACAATAGTTTTTTGGGAATTAAAATTGTTTGTCTAACAATTCATTTTGACATATCAATGGATTCTATGACATACCAATCAATTATGAAATCATAGGTTTTATGATACAATACCACAATAAATTATGAATTCACATTGGTGTTTGATGAAATTATGATTACTACATCACAATCTTGAGTTTATGAGATCACAATGATTTTATGACACTAAAGTTGATTATGATATCACAATCATTTCATGTCATCATACTTTATTATAATGCACAATGCTGGCTTATGACATCACATGGTATGTAAAATGGGGTTTCAATGGATTTTATAAAACCATAATGGTATTTTATCACATCCCAGTGGTGATATCACCATTGATTATGATGTCAGTGCTACAGTAATGACATCTAACAGCTTTTATTATTTTGCAAATCATTATGACATCTCCACAAGTTTTTTATTTTATTTTTTTTATTTTTATTTTTTTGACAGGCAGAGTGGACAGTGAGAGAGAGAGAGACAGAGAGAAAGGTCTTCCTTTGCCGTTGGTTCACCCTCCAATGGCCGCTGCGGCCAGCACGCTGCGGCCGGCTCACCGTGCTGATCCGATGGCAGGAGCCAGGTGCTTCTCCTGGTCTCCCATGGGGTGCAGGGCCCAAGCACTTGGGCCATCCTCCACTGCACTCCCTGGCCACAGCAGAGAACTGGCCTGGAAGAGGGGCAACCGGCACAGAATCCGGTGCCCCGACCGGGACTAGAACCCCGTGTGCTGGCGCCGCAAGGTGGAGGATTAGCCTAGTGAGCCGCGGTGCCAGCCAATCTCCACAAGTTTTATGACATCCACAATTGTGGCATGCTGGTATTGCCTGAGTGGGTGGGTTGACCTTGAGCACAGGTACCAGACTCTCAAATAAATCTTTTCTAAAACACAAAAAACAAAAAAGGCAGGAGTAGGTGGAACTACAAGCAGGAGCTGTCAACAACACCCCTCCCATCTCTTTTCTGGGCATAGGCAGCCAGAAGAGTCCTCACCCCCATACCTTCTATCTCCTCTGTGAAATTCTACTTTGCTGTCTGTTGATGTTAAATCAGAGAGGACCTATGCTCAGGGACATTAGGTACTGAAAAAATTGGAATTAAGTGAAAGTCTACATTCTGAATCAGAGCTACTCTTCCACTCCACTGCAGTTGCTTTTTTGAGCAGTGAAAGAGAAAACACCTGCAGATGTTCTGACACTTCCGCATCCTTTAATGAGAATACTGGCTCCTTATGCATCTATCCTATGACGAGACCTATAAATCAATAAGCCTGACGCAATATGCTTTTTAGCACCTTATTCTAAATGAGAATAGGCAGCCAAGAGTCACTACACAGGAAATGAAAGGCAGAAATTTACAGAAAGGCAGAAGACTTACAGAAGAAAGGAAATTAGAGAATCAGATGCAAGACAGAAGAGAACTTTAATGAAACTATAATTAATACCCTCAGAGAGAAGAAAGACAATATTGCATCCATGAAATAATGGTACCATAAAGATGGAACTATCAGTGAACAACACAGACAGCTTAAAAATTAAAAAGTATGCTAACGACAACTAAGCAGACAGTAAAAGATTGGAAACATAAAGTAAAATCTCCTCAAAATTAATGAAAATATGAATAATTAAGGGAGAAACAATAAGAAAAATACTCAACCCACCAGTTTAAATAAAGGAATAATAGAAATTTCAGAAGGTACAGAGATAATCAGAGGGAAGAAATTATCAAAGAAAAAAACCTCCATGAACTGAACAATATGACTTTCCAGATTAAGGAGGGTACCCTAAGTATATTCAGCACAACAGAAGAAACACACGCCAAGGCAGGTGAAAGAAATTCAGTTCACAAGTGATAGAAAGAAGAGTGTTAGATGTTCCAAAGTCACAAATAAAGAACTAGGATTCCACACTTGATACAAAGCTACATAAAAGAATTGAAATCGGTATGTCAGAGAGATACCTGCACTTCCATGTTTACTGCAGTGCTACTCACTGTAGCCGAGATATGGATTCAACTTAGATGCCTATCATCAAATGAGAGGATAAGGAAAATGTCACACACACACACACACACACACACACACACAGGAATACTATTCAGCCACAAAAAGAAGGAACATTTGCAACAACAAAGGTAAACCTGGAGGCCTCCACGTTACATGAAATAAGCCAGATACTAACAAAAGACCACATGATCTCATCCACATGTGGAATTTAAAAGTTAATCTCACAGAAACTGAGGTAGAGTTGTAGGTGGTGGTGGTGGAGAGGAAAGGGTGTCACAGATGTTGGCCAAAGGATATGTAATTCTAGTTAGTTAGAAAGGAAGAATATTTTTAAACTTGTCCAGAATTGACAGATATATAACAGAGAGTAGATAATTGCCTGGAGCGAGGAAAGGACAGAAGTGATGACAGAGAGAAATGGGCACAACTACTAATGCTTATGAGATTCTTTTTTTATGTGAAGAGAATATTCTGAAATTGTGGTGATGGTTGTACAGCTCTGTGAACACATTATATTATATTGTATTATATAATTTAAATGGGTGAATTGTAGGGTGTGAATTATATCTTAATAAAGCTTTTCCTAAAAAAAGAATGACAGTGTAAATACAAAAATAATTTATATTACGCATCTGTAATCTGGATAATCTGAAAATAAATCCTCTCTTTCTCCTGTTGGATCTGATGAAATGATCACAGTGCTGGAAAAAAATTTTTGAATTAAATTTTTAAATTATTATACACTCCTGGTATATAAAGCTTTTTGAGATATTTGTCAGTTACAGAGAGAGAGAGAGAGAGATGGAGAGGGAGACAGAGAGATGTTCACTCTCCAGATGGTGGCAGCAGCTGGAGTCAGGGGCCAGGAGCTTCTTCCAGATCTCCTTTGTGGACAGCAGGGGCCCAAGCACCTGGACCATCCTCCACTGCTTTTCCCAGCCCACCATATGGGAAGCATCCAGGTCATGAACTTGTACCCCTATTGGATGCCAGTTTTGCAAGTGGTGGCTTTACCCACTATGCCAAAACACCAACCCAGTGATAATAAATCTAGAAACCATTCTGTTAAAAGTCCAACAAACAAAAGGGAATGGAATTAGACTTCTCAATAGCAATGCAGGATCGTTACAGAAAATGGTTACAGTACCTGCCACTTTTAGAGGGAATATAATTTACACCTAGAAAACAATGAATTAAGCATTAAAACAAAGACTTTTTTCAGACATTCCAAGTCTTTTTACTTGTTGAGTAATCTCAATCTTTTGCAACTCCATTAGCATCTCAGGGAAACATAGTCAAGCTATCGCCCTTGGCCAAACCTGAATAAAATATACCAACTAGTGATTGATGTCATCCTGTCCTAGAGTCTGAAACACACTAGGGAGCAGCCTGTGACATCTTGCCAGCAGTTGTTTTTTTTTTTTTTTTTTTTTACAGGAAACGTGCATATTGATTATTTGCATCTGGATTCAATTGTTGTTATTTTTGTCTTTATTGTTGAGTCTTGTCCCACATGTGGTTTGGACTACACGAACAGAGAGCTATAAAATATCCTCCACGTAAGAGAGCAGTTTCCTTGGACCCTACATATTTGGTCCTATTTTGGTGGTTCATGACCTGCAAGTGAACTACGTCCTGTGCAAAGCTGCTCCGGCTGATCCCGATCTGTAACGATGCTCTGTGCCGTCTGCACCTTGTCATCTTTGTCCCTTCCACAAAGGGACTTCTTTGCATGATAAACCTTTCTCTGGAAGCTGGAAGATGTGTTCATCTGACACAGGTGAGAGAATCAGAGGGAACTAAGAGAATGATGAAGGAATTCTTGAGAGAATGGAGAATGGGACTTCTTTTCCATGAGAGATGGGTTTTTAAGGTTTTTTTTTTTTTTATTATTGATTTTCATTTTATTTAAAGGCAGAGAGACAGAGAACGAGATCCCCCACCTGCTGACTCACTCATTAAGTGGCCACAAGGGCCAGGGCTGGGTCAGATCAATGCCAAGAGCCCAAAACTCAATCCAGGTTTCCCACATGGGTGGCAGGGAACCAGGTATTTGAAACATCACCTGCTGCCTCCCAGGATGCGCATTAGCAAGAAGTTGAGTCGGATGTGGAGGAGTTGGGCCTGGAACTGGACACTCTCATATGGAATGTGGGTGTCCAGGGGGTGACTTAACTGCTGCGTCAAATGCCCTTCCCCAGGGGAATGGACTCTGAAGATAACAGTGGAGCCAAGAAAATAGATAATCTGGAGCATGAGTCAGAAGAAGAACAGAAAAATGGAACTCAGAGATAAACTGATGAATTTGACTATACTTTAACTTTCTTTGAAAGTTTGGGAGGAATTAGAGATTCTAAAGTACTTAGAAAACTAAATTGAAGGTAAGGCAACGTTTTTCTTCAGAAAAGAAGACAGGAAGAAAGGAAATAGTACCACATTTGGCTCCACTGTGAGTTAGATTTATGGTCACAGAGTAACACGGACTGTGATTTAAAGAAGAATTGAGATGGAACTCAATTAGGAAGATGTGCAGAGGGGACGACGGTGAGTGAGACAGGCAAAGGGGTTGACACAGTCTTTTATCTTTCATAATAATGTATGAAGCTGATTGCTCAGGAAATTGTCATGTGAGCGTATGATTTAGATATATGGTTAAAAAGACATCAGGAAAACAAAGGCAGAAGAAAAAGTTGAACATAAACAGATTTGAGGAAGGGAATCAGGGACGAGGAGTTCTGGGCAGAGGACTATTATTTCATATTATTTAGAGGTCTTTCAAAATTTGCCTTCTCAAATTATGGAAAATTCGGCAAAACTTTTTTTTAAAAAAAGTAAAATGAGTCCCAGAGAGATTAGGCGAAGATCACATACTATCTTATGGTGTTTACACTTGTTTTTTTGTTTGTTAGTTAATCTTGACACCCAGACTGATACATAAAAATCCCTGAATACAGGAGTGACACCTTGTACTTTTTCAGTGCTTACAGCACTTGTCAACACATATCTTCAAGTTTCTGAATTTTGCATTACATCAGTAATGTAAGAGCTAATGAAGTTCCCTAAGGTATGTGAGCAAAAAAATGTCAATAGAGAATATGCTTCATATTTGACCTCTGATAATGAAAATGATTTTCCTCTTCTCCAGGCTGCTACTTGTCAATGGCTATGCACACTACATGGTTAAAGCCTTTTCTAACTGGGTGTGGTATAGATAACTGAATTCAAAAACAGTCTGAGATCAGAATTCTAAATAATAATAAAACTAGACTCACTTGTATGATTGTCCTGAGTATGGATTCAGAAACCAGCACGCCTGGGTATGTCTCTGCCAACTACTCGCTTTGCAATTACGTTCAAGTTACTTACACGTGCATCTCCTGCCTTCTTATTTATAAACTGGAGGTGTGGAGATCTCTACCCCCTGGATGGGTGTGAGGATTTAATGAGTCAAAGTAAAGAGCATTATTGTTTTTAGTCTAATGATCACTCTCGGCTCATCTTACCTTGGTATCTCATTTTCACGTTCTCTTGGACCTGTTGCTGACCCCAAACTGACTTCCTGTCTTGATCTGTATCTGACCAGTCATTATTACTCATCCTCCCCCTTCAGGAATTAAGTTTCACCCTATGTCATTTTGCTTACTCAGTATTAGATTTTGGAGGAGACAACAGACCCAGAGAGACAATACAGTCCATGGAATAAAGACAAGATAAGACTTTGATTAACACCAAGGAATACTGTATTTAAAGTTTGTCTTACATGTATATCTCCCTGTAGGACAGGAAAGCATAAAAGAAGACTCTCTTCCATTAGAGTGGATTCATGACTTCCTCATCTTGTATCTTAACCAGTTGATAATATGTCTGGTATACAGTATGCATTTAATAACTATTTTATTAATTAGTAATCAGATAACTTACAAGTGTATTTTATAAAGAAATCATTAGTAGGAATCAGAAGAGTGAGGCCCCCATTACTATCTTCAGGATTATTAAGTTATAGCATTGGTCAAATCACTTTACCCACATGGCACTTTCTCCTCATCTGTAAAACAGATATTCCTAGTTTCTTTTTCAGTTCTGAATTTTGACTTGGTTGGTACCAAGAGAAGTCACAGCAGATAAGAAAGAAATGGCAAAATCATTCTTAGAACTGTAAGGTGCAGTAGTAGTACCAGCCTATACCCATACTTTTCAAACTTGAATGTACACACCTTACTTGGGAGATATTATTAAAATGCATATTTTATTCAGTGGGTCTGGATTGGGTCCTGAGAGACTACATTTCTAACGAGCATACAGAAGACACCAATGTCACTGGTCTTCTTTCACTTAATCAGCAAGGACCAAAGACTCTCAGATGCCAATCTCTGCCTCATCCATACAGTGTTTGTCTTCCTCTATTTCCAGAACCTGGGTCAAATCTTGGGCCCTATCTGTAGTACCAGCCTCAAGCTAATCACTCAGCCAACTAGACTCATCTCAGAGAGAAGTCGAGAGCATCTTAATGATCCCTGAGTCATGTCACTTCTGACATTTAAGTGGATAATATTGGGCTTCTACTTGTATTATGATCTGCTTTTCCAGGGGACCCTAACCCTTCTTTTTCCTTCCTAACAGGATGGAGATTGCCTTGAATGTATGAGCTGCTTGTTCAGGACCCTGAAATAAAGTTCAGCTCTTATCAGTGATAAAAAGACTTCCAGAAAAGAGCACTGGCTCAATATATCTTGTTCCCAGACTGGCTGGATTTCTACACTGAATAAACATTTCTACGGAATCATTTCAGTTCTGCCCAAGTTTGTGTTTTCATTGCCAGATGGAATCTTGCTTTTCAGTGCTTCGCTTGATCAGACTTCCTGCACTTGATCATGCTTGTCTGCCTGAGCATTCTGTAGCTTCAGAACACCATGCTTTGGATTTTCCAGTTGCGCTCAACACAATAGCCTGTGTAGCAGCATTGGTTCCCTCCAAGTTAGTTCTCACCTCAAAAAGGAAGAGCCAGCTATCTGGCTTTTCATTGCACCTCATTCCTACAAACCCTAATCACATTTATCGACCCTGATCAAGTTAGGAGCATAATTCAAATCTCTTTCTCTAGCTCCCAGGGATTGTACTGAAACCGTGGATGCGTCTGAGAGCAGAAGAGGCAGAATAAAGCTAAAGTTCCTAAGGTATAAACTTGACACAAATCATGGCAGTCAACCTTGGGTGTGGTTATATATTTTTATAGTTAAGCTGTAATCATTTATCTTTCTGATTTAAATAAGCCACTCTTCACAACTATTTTTAAAGATAGATTCTGGACATTTCATTAAGTGACAGTCCCTGGCAATCTTTATCATGTCCCTTCAAGATACTGACATTGTTCAAGAGAGGCTTCAGGGGCCAGTGTTATTGTCTAGCAGATAAAACTGCAGCCTGTGACACTGACATCCATATGGGTGCCAGTTTGAGTCCTGTCTGCTCCATTTCTGATCCAGCTCCATAATAGTGCACCTGGGAAAGCAGAGGAGGATAGCCCACGTGCTTGGGGCCCTGTGCTCATGTGGGAGACCCTGGCTCCTGGCTTCTGCCTGGCCCAGCCCTTTTAATACCATTTTCCATGAACTCTTGAAGTCCTTGGCATTAGGTGGGGTGGGGAACTATCTTAAAACCAAGAAATGGAAAAGCTGGGTGTTCTGCATCTTTTCTTGTGGCTTAAGAAAATCATTTAAGCAAATCCAGTTAAATCAGAATGTGTTAGTTACTGCTCTGCCTCCGATCACTGACACTGGTTTGTGATTCCTTGTGATTTGTCACACATGACTGTTTGTGGACAAAGCCTTACTATTCTAATTACCAGTCACTGGTCTTAGCACTTGCTCCTTACATATTGGCTTCTGCTATTGTCATTTTCTGATACCAGCACATGAACATATCAAATCATCCTACCCCAGTCTTCCCGTGTCATATTGATAGATGTGATGTGTCTATGACCTTGTGACCTGAATTTTATATTTTTATACCTTCTTCAGCTGCTTGGGTAACCAATTGTTTCAGAGGCTTCCATGTTCAGACTCTCTGAATGAATGTACTCATAACCTTTTAGAACTTTGGTGACTTTTTTCCAGTAAGTAAATTCTGAAACATGCTGAAGATTAATCTAAAAAAATCTACTTTTAACACAAATCATACAATCTTGTTTTTAATAATATATATCAAGAAATAAGTTTCAGAAAACCAAGTTTTTACTTGCTATCTGTGATACAAACTTTTTTCTTTGTAAAAATGCTACACATAAGTCACTATATTGATTTCCTGACCTCTTAGTATTCTTAGAAGCACAGTTTGAAAATTGTTGTACTTAATTCCCCTAAAAGAGATTCTATATTCATTATTCTAAAATGTATATGGAATATTTGACAAGGATTTAACCAAAGGGTGGAAAGGAGAATATACAGTTGGTCCTCTGTATCCTGTCGTCCCAAATTCATGGATTCAACAATTATTGGTGTAGAATATTCAGAAAATAATTATATTTGTACTGAACATTTACAGATTTTTTTCTCATCATTTTCCCCTCAACAATAGAGCATAATAGTAACTTAAGGAGCATTTACATCATATTGGGTATTATAAGTCATCTAGAGATGATTTTAAACATGTGGTAGGATGATCAGAAGTTATATGCAAACATTGTGCTATTTTATGTAAGGGACTTGAACATCCTAGATTTTGGTATCCACAGTGAATCCTAGAACCAATCTCTAACAGCTACCAAGGGAAGACTGTCCTTTAAAAATGTGTGAAATAGCTTTAAAGGCAGAGTGATATGTTAAAGTTTCTCTTTTCATATGAATAGGAAGAGATGTATAATTGACCAAGAGGTAGAAGCAGGCTTCCAGCCTAAGGAAGCAGAATGAAGGGGCCTATGGGAGAAGCAGTGCCAAAGAACAAAGAGAGGTAGACCCAGGAGATTTGACAATTTGACAGGGGTCACCTGAGTCAAGGAGCTGCAGAAGCTACTAGAGGCACAGCTAGAGGGGACAACACTCAAGAGCTGGAAAGCTTGGGAGTAGTCCAATGCAGAAGACAAAAAGCAAATAAGAATGCTGAATAGGGCAAAACTATATGACAAACATGTTATGGCAAAAAGCCTGAGGCTCTTAGAGAAAGCAGCAACCCAAGGAATGCCACAGCGCCAGATTCCTCTGCAAAAGGCTATACTGACCAGCTGTTCTATTGTTAAAATTTTGATCCATTTTCAAGATTTTCCTTGAACGTGAATCACTGACCAATCTGATAGTTAAGAGATTGATGCTCTCTACTTTTTAAGTTATATGGTCTAATTAACTTTATATCTAAATGAAAGATTTAGCTCTATCATTACATTACCTACCATAGGTTCTGTTTCCTTTGGAGGTCTGTCCAGGGGAGGAATGTACCATTGAAAGCAGAGTTCTCTATTTAAAGCTTGAGTTATTATATCTGATGGCGTCATGTCCACAGAAGATGGGCTAGCAAGGAGCCACAAAGATAAAACGGATTGTAGAGAACTGTCACGATATAACTAGGGAATAACAATAAAGATCAGTTTAACTGCTGGTAATTCATTCATTTAATATTTAAAACAAATTCACTGGATACACTGCAAAAATCTAGGAATTGTTTCAGCTTCTTTTATGTACACGGATCTTAGACTGTCACAGGGTTACCATAGAGAAGATTCTCATGCAATGAAAGTGCTTCAAATCCCAGTGGAATCAGCAAATGTCTGCAACTGTGGAGAATCTTCCAGGGTGAAGGTCTGGAGAGGAAGGAAAATGCCTGAGCAAACATTTCAGTCTCAAAGTGACCACTGTTTCTAAGAACATTGGATCTGTTTCTGATTTATTCATTGTTGAATATACTGAAAATATAGTTATAAATTACTATCTATAACAGTGTCGTATACAAAATGAGACACAGTTGTGTCGTTAAAAGGTTAAAATTCATTGTTCTCACTCTCTCTTTAAGTGAATGTGGCTGATTTCTAAGTTCAACCTTTGGGAAAGCTGAGCCCAGCTTCCTTTATGAGACTTGGTCACTGAATCAGGAGTCTTCAAGAAACACGCATGTGTAGAATGCAATTAGTACTTTGATAAATTTAGTTATTTGAGGGACCTAAAAAGCCAAGAACAGTTAACTATTTACCAATAAAATGACAGGCTAACCAGAGGAAAAGTAATAGTGATAAAAAATATCTTAAATCTAGAAAGGCTCTTCTTTGACGGAGTGGAAACTACTTTCTAAACTTAACCTCTTGCTATTCCCAAGATGGCATCCCAGCGTCTGGGAAACTGATGCTCTATTGTACTCTTTTTGATATCTAAGATATCTCAAGGTTTTGTGGGGGAAAGCCTGAGGCTCACAGAGGGCCTGTCAATGGCCAGAAAGAAACGCTTGGTTTTCCTATAAAGCTTTGTGTCTCCCATTATTTCTGAGCCTATTCAATATATAATGTAAGACTGTGAATGCAAGTCTTCCAAATAAAAAGGAAATAAAGACACTGACCTTTCAAGTTGTCTACTGATAAAAAAAAATGCTTTGACTGAAAGATAGCATTAAATGTGAAAACTTCTCAAAAATGTCTAAAGACTATCATAAAAGGACATGATAGCCAGAATCCTCAGTTATTAACACTATGATAATAAACTCATGATCAAAATATATAACAAGCAAGATTATTGAAGTTAAATAATCATTTAAAAGTGCTTAATTAAGAGCCATTTCATGTCAGACAATTTACAAAATAATCAGGTAAATAATTGATTCCAAAAATAGTCTCACATTTTTTTCATATCTGGGTCACTTTCAGAGGCCTTGACAAATATGGTAGCAAAGGATTTATATTTAGTAACTAGCTAAGGGTAGGGAAAAAAACTCAAATGCATTTAATTTCGTTTTGTGTGTGTGTGTGTGTGTGTGTGTGTGTGTGTTTTGACAGGCAGAGTGCACAGTGAGATAGAGAGACAGAGAGAAAGGTTTTCCTTTGCCGTTGGTTCACCCTCCAATGGCCGCCGTGGCCGGCGCGCTGTGGCCAGCGCACCGCGCTGATCTGATGGCAGGAGCCAGGTACTTATCCTGGTCTCCCACGGGGTGCAGGGCCCAAGTACTTGGGCCATCCTCCACTGTACTCCCTGGCCACAGCAGAGAGCTGGCCTGGAAGAGGGGCAACCAGGACAGAATCCGGCGCCCCGACCGGGACTAGAACCCGGTGTGCCAGCGCCGCAAGGCGGAGGATTAGCCTAGTGAGCCACGGCGCCGGCCCAAATGCATTTAATTTCAATATAAGCAGTGTATATTAGCACTGTAGTCTAATAATGCTACAGTGTAACAGAAGTGATAATCAAAATAGGCATTTAATTTTCCATTCTATTTATTTTTTAAAGTTTTGTTTATTTATTTGAAATGCAGTGTAAGAGAGAGAGAGAGGAAGAGGGAGACTAAGATGTAGTGGGAGACCAGGAAGCAGAATAGAGTGTGAAAGAGTTCTTCCATCTATTGGTTCACTCCCCAAATGGCTGCAACAAACACAGCTGGTCCAAGCCAAAGCCGGGAACCAAGAATTCCATCCAGGTCTCCTATGTTGGTGGTGGGAACTCAAGTACTTGGGCCACCATTTGCTGCCATTCACATGTATTAGCAGGAAGCTGGTGAGGCATGAAGGTGGGACTCCATCCCATGCACTGAGATATGGGATGTGCATTACCATGCCACTATGCCACGGCAGCTGCTCCTCCCATTGTCTTTAAAATACTATGATAATCCAGTTACTAATGGATTAACTGCATGTGCTTATTGATGTGATGTATACATTGAGTACGTTCAATACATTTTCCGTACTCTGAAAGGTGCTCTCTGTACAAGGAGAACCCTAGTTTGCCACAGTCCTATGAGCATCATAGCACTTTGCCCTAGTCAGATATTTGACCTCACTAGACTGTCACAGCCACACAATCTAAGCAGCAATAACTCACTGTGCAGAATTTTAATCATCTCCTTTTTTGGAATTTTTAATGTAATTTGTTTTGCACCTTTGTTTTTCCATCACAAAGCTTCAACAGACTTGATGGCATGCACATGCACACAACTGATGAGCATAAACACAGAGCAATGGTGGTGCTGGAAAGGCATCTCCTTCATTGTGGGGGAAAAGCAGGTTTAACTATCAAATTACGGAAAGAGTTTGATTGAAATAGCCTCCTGAGTGATTAAAGGCTCAAAAATGTTATTATAAAAATCAGCCAAGCTTGGAATTTATATTGAAAAATCCAAAAGACTTTATGCTCGTTAGCTGTCTACCCCAGTGAAACGAACACATGATTAGGTGGCTTGCACCTGTCAGGCAAGCGACAGTGATCTCCAGAGCTGATTATCCTGGGAGAGTGTTTCACTAATTATATCAAAAAAGAGCAAACAGGGTGAAACAACTCTGATAACACTGTGCCATTAGAAATGTCACATGTGTTTACAATGTATTCGAAGTTGTACCTTTGGAGTATCATTCTTAGGAACTGGCAAATGATAGGCTGTCCTTAATATGAAAATACTCTAGCAGAGATCCTCTCAGAATAGTATTTAAGAACTCACTTACATAAGGGTATTTCAAATGTTTGTGGAAAATACAGAATTTGAAGATAAGTTTATTTTGGTGTAAAAATATAAAATTCATGCATAGTTGTTTTATAATATGCATTTTCCATGACATTTTTGAAGACTCTTCATGTTAGTTTCCAAAGTCTTATACTTTGGAAATACATTAGAACTATTGCAATAACTAATGTAATACATTAGAACTATTATTCTCAGCTTTTGCATGCACTGCTGCCTACTCCAAAACAGCAGAGGTATCAGGAACTCACATGGCAATGATCCCCAAAGGGCGGGAGTCTCAGTCATCAGTGAGGGAGAATAAGAAACTTGTGCTGGACATTAACAACTTCAGAACACTCTTACGGTTTCTCTCCACATGGAGGGGCAGACATGTTAACACTCATCTATCTACCTCCTCACTCACTCTTCTCCCTGGATTCAGTACATAGTTCTGCTCTATCTTCTTGGGTACAAACTGTTTGCAAGTAATGGACATTCTCTGCTTCTTTATGGGACAGTTGAAAGAAATTGTCATGACTCAGTAATATAAGGTTGAATTGATCAACCTGTCTTCCTGAGAATTCATAACACACTATGGAAAATCATTCAGCAGGAGATATAAACCACATCCTTCAGTATCAACTTTATGTCTCCTAAAGGTGGTATTTTTCAGTCCCAGTCTTTCTTAGTCTCTTCTTTTATTTCTCAATTTAGAATTATCTAAATCTTAGCAGGGAATGGGGTGCTGAGTATCCATCATGTTACTATACCACAGTATCCGGGAAGGAAGCAAAAGTCATTTGGAGAGTCTTCCTGTGTTATTATCCTTTTAAGCCTTAATTTTTAAAAAAATAAAAGTTGTATATATTTATAGGGTACTCTGTGATATTTCATTACATGTATATATTGCACAATGTCCAATCAGGATATATATATATATTTATCAAGAATTTAATATTCCCTTATATTGCAAACATCCAAAAATCCTATCTTCATTTTTTTTAAAAAATATAGTACATTAACATATATCTTAACCTACTGCAAACAGAATTCCAAAACCTCTTACCCTTGTTTAGCTTTAAGCTAGTACCTGTCAGTCAACTTTTCCCATTCTTCCTTCCCCACTTCCATTCCCAGCCTCTTTTAACTACCATATAAGTGACATCATGTTATAATTGTCTTTCTGTGTGTGACTTGTTTCATATAACATAATAATTTCCATACCATCTGTATTGTTGCAAATGACAAGACTTCATCCATTTTATGACTGAGTAGTATTCCATTGTAATAGATACCACATTTTCTTTGTTCACTCATCAGTTGATATACACTTAGGTTTTTTCCATTCCCTGGCTATCATGAATAGTGCTGCAGTAGCTATAGGAGTGCAGATGTCTCTTCAACAGACGGATGTCATTTCCCATGTATATATACCCAGGAATGGAGTCGCTGGATCATACTGTAATTCCAGTTCTAGTTTTGTTGAGGAACTTCCAAACTGTTTCTCAGAACAATGTGTAAGGGTTTCCTTTTCTTGACATTCTATCCAATACTTGCTATCTTTTTTTCTTTTTGATGATATTCAATCTTGCTGGAATGAGTTGATATCTCGTTGTGATTTTGATTTGCATTTGCCTGATGATTAGTATGTTGATTATTTTTCACGTATTTTTAAGCCATTTTTATGTCTTCCCTGGGGAAATATTTGTTTAGATCTACTGCCCACTTAAAATTGAATTGCTTATTTTGCTATTGAGACATCTGAGTTCTCTATATCTTTTGAATATTAACCCACTGTCAGAAGCATAACTTGTAAGTGTTTTCTCCCATTCTAGAGATTGTGTTTGCACTCTTGATTATCTCCTTTGTTATGCCTCTCAGGTAGTTCTAGTACATTACCACAGGGCAACTCCACAATCCTGAAAATCATTTTTTGCTGAATTCTTTTTGTAAAAATGTTCTTTTTGTTTTCAAGATTTATTTATTCACTCATTCAAAAGCCAGATTGAGAGTGAGACTGAGAGGGAGGAAAGGAGAGAAGGAAGGAAGGAAGCAGGGGGAAGAGAAGGATCTTCCATCGACTGGTTTACTTTCCAAATGACTGCAACAGCCAGTGACGGCAGGGCCAAAGACAGGAGTCAGGAACTTCATCTCAGTCTCCCACATGGGTGATAGGGACCCAAGTACTTGGGCCATCATCTGCTCCTTTTCTAAGCACATTAGGAAGAAGTTGGATCAGAAGCAGAATAGCCAGGACTTGAATCAGAAGAGTGATATGGAATCCCAACATTGCACGAGGCTGCTTAACACACTGTGCCACAATACTGGCTTCTAAATGAATTGCTTTTTTTTTTCTTTTTTTTTCCTTTTTTTTTAACTTTTATTTAATGAATATAAATTTCCAAAGTACGATTTATGGATTACAATGGCTTCCCCCCCATACCGTCCCTCCCACCCACAACCCTCTCCTTTCCCACTCCCTCTCCCTTTCCATTCACATCAAGATTCATTTTCGATTATCTTAATATACAGAAGATCAGCTTAGTATACATTAAGTAAGGATTTCAACAGTTTGCTCCCACACAGAAACATAAAGTGAAAAATAATAGATGATTTTTTTAAAATGATGATGAAATCAGATCAGACCTATTGTCATGTTTAATCCCAGTGAGAGTCAAGTTGGGAGTTGATAATTTCTTTTTTTTTTTTTTTTTTTTACAGAGGATCAGTTTAGTATGCATTAAGTAAAGATTTCAACAGTTTGCACCCCCATAGAAACACAAAGTGAAATATACTGTTTGAGTACTCGTTATAGCATTAAATCTCAATGCACAGCACATTAAGGACAGAGATCCTACCTGAGGAGTAAGTGCACAGTGACTCCTGTTGTTGACTTTACCAATTGACACTCCTGTCTATGGCATCAGTAATCTCCCTATGCTCCAGTCATGAGTTCCCAAGGCTATGGAAGCCCTCTGAGTTCTCCGATTCTTATCTTGTTTAGACAAGGTCATAGTCAAAGTGGAGGTTCTCTCCTCCCTTCAGAGAAAGGTACCTCCTTCTTTGAAGACCTGTTCTTTCCACTGAGATCTCACTCACAGAGATCTTTTGCCAGAGTGTCTTGGCTTTCCATGCCTGAAATACTCTTAAATGAATTGCTTTTAATTATTAAAAGTTTGATTATGTGTTTCATTTTAAAATTTTATTTTTTAGAAGGAAAGAATGACACAGAAAGAGTGACACACGCAGAGAGAAATCTGCCAACTTTTGGTTCATTTCCAAAATGCCTTCCTCAATTGCGACTGGGCCAGAACAAAGCCAAGAGCTGCATCTGGAAGGCAGGAACCCAAGTACTTGGGCCATCATCCACTGCCTCCTGTGCACATTATCAGGAAGCTGGATTGGAAGCAGAGTCGGGACTCGACCCCAGGCACTCCAAGATAGGATGTGGGCATCCAAAGCAGCAACTTGAGCCACCGCACCACAAACTCCCACTCCTAACTGAATTGTTTAAAATTCCCTAATGAGTTTTTCCATTACTGTTTTAAACTCAATTCATTATCATCTGACTTTCATGAGTGGACAGCAGAATTATTCAAAAGACTGCCACCTTTTTATGATTTATTAATATCTACCCAAAACATAGAGTTATAATATTCTAGCAGGATAAGATGAGCAAGGGTTCTGATAGTGGAAAAAGTCACATTTTCAGGTCACTTCTCTGGGATAGCTGGCAACAGAAACAGACATGTTAGCATGGGAACGTGTGTAATCATAAAAATTAAAAAGACAGATGGTGAAATCCAAAGTTGAGATAATTCAACATGGGCGAGTGTTTTCTAGTTTTGAAAGAATTCTGTGCATTGCTTGTATTGGAAGCTTACAATATGCTATGCCCACTTGAGTTTTCTATTAGAATCTTAAACTCTGTATCTACAAAGCAGAACATAAGCATCCTCCACAAACGTGCTAATTGTCCTACCAGCCCGTTCCTGCTAATGGTGTCACTATGCTCTATGCTCAAACAAGTTCTAGATGGTGGAACAGGTTCCTGTCATTCCCTCTTCTCTATCTTCCATCTCCAAATGATCCACAAATTGTTTTGCTACTGTTTTCATTTTACTTAAGCAGTATATTTTACACCCATCTCTTCTTTCCCATTCTTTTTTTAAAAATTATTTATTTGAAATTCAGAGTTATACAGAGAGAGGAAAGGCAGATTGAGAGAGAGAGAGAGCAAGAGCGAGAGCGAGAGCGAGAGCGAGAGAGAGGTCTTCTCAATTGGTCACAATGGCCAGAGCTGTGCCAATCCAAAGCCAGGAGCCAGGAGCTTCTTCTGGGTCTCCCATATGGGTGCAGGGCCCCAAGGACTGCGGCCATCTTTTTACTGCTTTCCCAGGCCACAGCAGAGAGCTGGATCGGAAGAGGAGCAGCCAGGACTAGAACTGGTGCCCATATGGGATGCTGGTGCTTCAGGCCAGGGCATTAACCCTCTGCACCACAGTGCTGGCCTCACCTTCCCATTCTTAGAGGGCCAAGCTTCACTACTTCATCATCTCATGCTTGGAATGGTCCTTTCTGTCTCTCATTTGACAGTCAATCCTATATTCTAACAAACAAACTAATATATTTTAATATTCTCTTTCTTCTTTTAAAGGCAGTGTGTGTGGGGGGGTGAGGGGAGAGAGACAGAGACAGAGAAAGAGTGAGAGATCTTTCATCTCTTGATTCACTCCCTAAATGGCTGCAACAGCAACAGTCAATGCTAGGCCAGGCTGAAGCCAGGAGCAAGGAGCCAGGAACTTTATCTAGATCTCCCATGTTGGTGGCAGGAACTCAAGTTCTTAAGCTATCATCTGCTGTTTTGCCCAGATAACATTATGAAGGGAGTTGGTTTGGAAAAGAAGCAGGTGGAACCCAAACCAGCACTATGATTTGGGATGCTGGCAATGCAAATGGTGACAACCCACTGTGCCATAACACTCAACCTCATTTTTTATATTCATTCTGCTATTAACTCTGCTATTTTCAATCAAAAAGCATCTGTGAAATAAAGCAACTTTCATTTGTTCTAATCCTAGCACTATTTCTCATCTATCCCACCAAAACTATGTACAGAGACTATGCCTCATCAATGCTCTTTCTTCATCAAGAAAGATTCTGTGGCATATCACATATCATAGATGTTCAATGTATTTTTGTTGAATGCCTCATTTCACATATATATATATGTATATGTATATATATATATACACACATATATATACATGTGTATATATATGTGTGTGTGTGTGTGTATATATATATATATATATATATATTACTGTTTCTTAATAAAACCCTTTACTTTTTTCAGTATCTTTCAACTCATCCATTTTGGTAATTTATTCAAACACTAGTATTATTCAAATCCCTAATAGCTTTAATTTTAAAAAAAAACTTGGTTTATATTTCTCTTTTTAGCTTCTTCAATGTATACTTTAGAAGAAGTTTTGAGGGCTGGTGCTGTGGCACAGTGGGTAAAACTGCTGCCTGCAGTGCCAGCATTCCATCTGGGCACCAGTTCAAGTTCTGGCTGCTTCGATTCTGATCCAGCTCCTTGCTAGTATGGCTGGGAAGCTAGTGGAAGATGGTCCAAGTTCTTGGTGTCCTGCACCCACGTGGGAGACCCAGAAGAAGCTCTAGGCTCCTGGCTTGGAACCAGCTCAGCTCCAGCCAATACAGTTGTTTAGGGGAGTGAACCAATGGATGGAAGACTTTCCTCTCTTTCTCTTTCTCTCTCTCTCTCTCTGTAACTCTGCCTTTCAAATAAATAAATAAATCTTTAAAAAGTTTTCATGTTTCCTCAATATTTACCTTAAACGAAGTATTCATATTACATATTTTGAGAATATCCATCCAATTTAATAATTCTTTTCCAAAGAAAAAGTCTTCAAACTATTAATTTATTTGAAAACGTTGCCTCTACGACTTATTAACACCCACAATTACAAAAAAATACACACAATGAATAGGTTTTATCATGCATTTAAAACAGGGTATGGAAACTGGGCAGGATTTAGAAACTCACAGTCTAGTTTTCTTTGAAATTTGTGTAACTTCTTGGCAACATTGATGCCTCAGAGATGCTGTTTCATGCAGGAGTATAATAAATCCTAAGAAATTCTTGAACATATATGAGGACAAGACAGAACATTTACTGCATTAAAAATGATGGATGAGTACTAAACCAAACATGAAACAAAAAGTGCCTTCCTCCAAACTCTGGGGGAACCAGAAAACTTTGTTCTGGAGTAGATGTTGAGATGCTTCTAACAAGTTTTGCAGGAAATACACAACGTTGTAAAACCTTACCTTGGTTGTTGATTCATATAAGACTTTTTCTAAAGAAGGTGGATTTTCAAATCCTTGAAGAAGCTCTTTTGGAAATTCATCAATACAAGAAGAAGAATACAAATGTAGGAATTTTTTAAGAAAACAATGCATTTCTTTTTGGCGTAAAATCAATTCAGAGTTGAAAAGAGAGGTGAGAAGTGTATCATCCGGCAAAGAAATTCCAGATACTGGCGTTGCAGATGCTTAGGGAAGGAAAATACCTTAATTGAGGCTCATATTAGAAAAAGAGTGTTCTCAATATTGTTCAGATTTGCTCACTAACTACTACCTCCATATATCCCCACTCCCACCCAGGGCTTCTCACTCACTTTCCCTCATTTTTAGAGCTTACACACTAGTGGAATTCCTTCTTCTCCAAGAAGAAAAGAAAACTTCAGAGGTACATGGTGATGTGGCTTCAGATTTTAAGTATTAAGAGTGATGCCACATGTTCTATCTACCTGTCTTGTGTGTGGCTCCCCTCAAGAAAGACCTTAAATCAAAAATTTGGGAGCAAGTGGTTTGTTTGGAAAGTTACTTCAAGGTGCACAGATGAGGGTTTGTAACAGGGAAAATCAAAGGCAGCCACTAAAGGTCAGTAAATGGATGGGCTAGAGCTATGGCCACAGAGCTCAGTTCCACTGGGAACCTTCTGAAAAGGTAGAATTGTAGAATTGTCTCTCAGGGAGTCTGAGAAGCTGGAATGTTTATCTATCAGTTCTCTACCTCTTACCTGAAAGTTGCCTGTGGGAGTAGGTGATTCCTGGCACTTCTGGGCTGGCCCACCTGCAGGTTGGGCAAGCTCCCTTCAATAATTGCAAACAAAGCCCAGAGCCGGGGGGGGGGGGGGCAGCAAAATGTGAGTACCTGATTTGGGAAGTGGGAGCCGGGTCATTCAGTGTGGGGAGCAACCCGGACTGGACTAAGTTACTGGAATTAAGACTTATTCTATGCATCTGCTCTCCCACAATATGGCGCTGGGAGAGGAGAAAACAGCTTCTACGCAGCTGCCTCTTGCCAACTTGAGTGATGACCTCCAGGAGCTGATCCTGCTCCTGATTGGAGGAGAGCAGCGTACTCGGCGTGTGGGTAGCAGAGTTGGGATTGGCGGAGGAGGACTATAAAGGAGGAGAGAGACGGCATGCACCAGGAACATCTAAGGGGAACATCTGAAGGAACACCTGTGCAGCCCCCGAGAGAGCTGGCCGGCGGTGTGCCGCTCCCCTGCGGAAGTGGGGAAAGTGGCTAGGGGGAACCGCCCTTCCACGGAGGTGGAAGGGACAGTAGCCAACCCAGGAAGAACCAGCAGCAAACCCGGGGAGGGCCGAGCAGACAAAAGAACAGCGCAGGGTCCTGTGTCGTTCCTCCACGAAGACGGGGAGCGACATAATGGTGCCGTGACTCGGATATGAAGCCTAGGCAGGGTTTAGTGTCGTTCCTCCACGAAGAGGGGGAGCGACAATTCAGGAGGGGAGCTGAGTCGCTCTGGGCATCATCACAAAGCTGGCTGCACTGGCTCATGTCCAGCTGCTTCCCTTCTTAATTTCTTTTTGTTCTAGCCCCCATCACGATGTATCTTTTATCCCTGACACCTTTCTGAGTGCACTTACTAATCCCATTGCTAACTCCTCATAACTGCTTAGATTTCTGTGACTCAACCTGTTTGCCTTGCGGCTTTCCCTTTCACTGGACCCTGACCTGGGCCAAACTCCCTTCTCTGTTTACACAGGTAAGTACAGCTGGATAACCAACTGCATGGGCACAGATCACAATACTTACACAATGGCAAAAAATCAGAAGAGCAACTAATGTGAAAAAGATTTTACTGATTTTGTGGATATTCTTGACAGCACCAAGTATTAAAAGGATAAACAAGAACTCCAAGGATTTGAGTATCCCATCGGAAGTCATGCATTTCTTTTACATACTAGATACTGAAACACTCACAGAAGCACACTCTTGCCCATTTTATGAATTGTCTCATTGGGATCTTCACTGGTTCTTAACTGTTTTGAGCCATGGACCACTTTGGCAGTCTTGGGAAGCCTCAGGGTGCTTCCTTATCATAAAGTTCTTAAATATATGACATAAAATGTGTAGAATTTCTAAGAAGACTACTTACATGGAAATACCATTCTACTCAAAGGTCTTTGTATCCCAGATTAAAAATCATTGGAATTTTCAACCTCTGATCAGAGTTTACCACAAAAAAGGTATCAAGAGTATTTTGTAATTTTAAATAAGAAATATAAGTTAAATATGAACTGTAAAGCAAATCTCTTTCTTAATACATTCAAAACCTACCTAACAGTTTGCTCATATTATTAATTCTTTGAAGATGAATATAGTAGCGCAGTAGAAGGACCCATGTAATATCCACTTTGGTTTGTGCCTTTACTCTAGGATCTGTGTTGTCACACATGTCATCATTTTGATACAAAAGGAAATAGCAAGTCTGGAAAACAACTTGGTAGTTATCTGAAAGTCAAAAAGATTTTTTTTAAATAAAATGTTCTACTCTCCCTGAAAAACAATCATATGTAGAAAAAAAATCACTCCTCATGAAGGAAAGACGGACCTATAAGAACATATTTCATTAAAAATATTTTTGTATCACAGGCACCAAATAAAAAATTAGAAGACAAATTATAGACTGAGAAGAGATATTTAGGACATGTATGAGTTATTCTTCTCTAATACTTAAAAACCCTTTGCACTAATAAATATGAAAAAGTCAAGTAACCCAGTTTCACCAGTTAATAGAAAAAGTGAGAAAAGAATTTCAAGAGGCAATTCACAGAACAATAAACCTAACTAACCAAAAATTTTAGCATCATCAAAGAAATGAAATTAAAATGAAGTACCATTTCTTATCCCTCATGAATTGACAAGTACTAAAATTTGAAAATAATAAACATCAATAATAGTAAGAAGAAACTGAATTTTCATACACCATGTGTGAGAACAACTTTTTAGGAACACAATTTGGCAGGATCTAATAAAACTAAAAACACAAATTCACATATATGTGCTCTAAGAATCTTCCATAAAGATGCTCAAGGCAATATCATTTATATTTAAAAAGTGTAAACTATGAATCTGATATCATTTAAAATGAATGAATTAATCTATAAGGGATAAAATATAATGTACAGTCCCAGTTCAAATCCTGGCAATAACATTAACTACTGTGTAACCTTGAATCTCTCTGTGCTTCGATGCTCTTTGGGCTTTGGATTTTGTGAGGCTTAATTTTCTCTTCTTTAAAATGGACATGATAAGGGTGCTTATGTATAGATCTTGAAAGTATACAACGGGTTAACAAGGAGATTATAGATGATATACTGAATATGAAACCATTTATGTAAATTTGTAAGCACTCACTCAAAACAATTCTTTGTCTCATTTATATATATAAACACATAACATTAGATTAGAGTGATATTTAGTAGTATTTGTCTCTGGGAATGAAAAAGGGAGATGAGGCTGGCGCCGGGGCTCACTAAGCTAATCCTCCACCTGTGGTGCCAGCACCCTGGGTTCTAGTCCTGGTTGGGGCGCCGGATTATGTCCCAGTTGCTGCTCTTCCAGTCCAGCTCTCTGCTGTGGCTTGGGAAGGCAGGGGAGGATGGCCCAAGTGCTTGTGCCCTGCACCCCATGGGAGACCAGGAGAAACACCTGCTCCTGGCTTTGGATTGGCTCAGTGCACCTGCCACAGCGTGCCGGCCATAGCAGCCATTTTGAGGGATGAACCAACAGAAAAGGAAGACCCATCTCTCTGTCTCTCTCTCTCTCTCTCTCTGTCTAACTCTGCCTGTCAAAAAAAAAAAAAAAAAGAAAAAGAAAGAAAGAAAAAGGGAGATGAATGAGATCTTCTATGGTTAATTGAAGACAGGCCTTGCATGTTTTTATAACTACTGGAATATCTTAATAAAATTTATTACCTGTTAAAATGAATAAAAATTAAAATTTTACATCTAGGAATCAGGTTAAATATTCTCATTATCTGTAGTTTGGGTGAATTATTTATGTGAATAATCCATAGCTAATGACAGCTTTTGTCTTCTTTCCCATTCCTTATACTCTTTATTTCTTATTTACCTTCTTTATATTATTGTGCAAGGTAGAACTTCTTGAATTCAAATGGTGATAACATTCTTACTCCTGCTTTTAAAGGGAATAGTTTTTTTTAAAAAAAAGATTTATTTATTTGAAAGGTAGAGTTACAGAGGCAAAGAGAGAGAGAGAGCGAGAGAGAGAGGTCTTCCATCTGCTGGTTCACTCACTCCCCAAATGGCCGCAACGGTTGGAACTAAGCTGGATGTGAAGCCAGGAGCTTGGAGCTTGTTCTGGGTCTCCCAGGTGGGTGAAGGGACCCAAGGACTTGGGCCATCTTGTACTGCTTTCCCAGGGCATAGCAGAGAGCTGAATGGGGAGTGGGGCACCCAGGTATTAAGCCAGCATCCATATGGGCTGCTGGCCCTGCAAGTGGTGGCTTTACAACTATACAACAACACCGGCCCCAAGGGATAGTTTTGAAGCATTTGAATATCACGTATAAGTGAATTAAGGCCCCCCCAATTTGTAAATTTTTCAAATTAAGAAAATTCTTCTTATTTCTAGTTTTAGAAACTTGAATGGTTATTGAACTTTACTGAATTTTTCTGCACCTAATTGAGATCATTATTATTTTGCTTTGTAAATTTGTGAATGTAGTGATTTAACTTAATAGATTTCCTAATGTTGAATTATATCTGCATTTCCAATTTGCCATGACATATCTTTTAATATGCTGCTTATATTATCAAAGCCACACATTTCTATCATCAAATTAAAATCCCAACCCCACCCAGAGGCAAGTGTTATTGACTATTCATACTTTAGTTCATCTACTGATAAGTTCTATTCCTTAAAATAATTTCCTTATAGCATTCCTCTTAAATTATCAGTTTTAGAAAATATATCTACTGGGGCTGGCACTGTGGCACAGTAGGTTAATCCTCTGCCTTTGGCGCCGGCATCCCATATGGGTGCTGGTTCTAGTCCAGGCTGCTCCTCTTCCAATCCAGCTCTCTTCTATGGCTTAGGAAAGCAGTAGAAGATGGCCCAAGTCCTTGGGCCCCTGTACCCACCATGTGGGAGACTGGAGGAAGCTCCTGGCTTCTGGCTTCAAATCGGCACAGCTCCAGCCATTGCAACCATCTGGGGAGTGAACCAGTGGATGGAAGACCTTTCTCTGTCTCTCCTTCTCATTGTCTGTAACTCTAACTTTCAAATAGATAAATAAATAAAAAATCTAATAAAAAAAGAAAATATATCTATTGACGTTCTTCTGTAATTAATGAAATATTAGCTCACATAAGCATTCCTCTTCACTTCAAAATGCTTACAGTTATATCACCACTTTCAGTTCTACTATTTTTACATATATCAACAACTGTCTAAAAGTTCTTTCTTTCTAGTTCCAACAAACGTAGATAGTATCTCCTGAAGTCCTGCTTTGTAATCTAATACTATCTTCATCCTTCACTTCCTCCTCTGTTCTGGGTTTTGTATTTCAAAGTTGATAACATTAACATTCTGCTCTGTATCTGCAGTAAATCCTTCCTTTGTTTTTTTATCCTAAGCTGAAAATCAAGATGCATACATATGTACACAAAAATGTTGCAAACAGGTGTATTACTGCAGCATTAGTCAAGAGAGCCCTAAATATTTATCACACGAGAACTGATAATCAACTGTGCTACTACACCACAAAACAATGAATTACATGGGCATAATATTGAATCAGAGAAGCCAGACACAAAAGAATACAGACAGTATTATTTCATTTGTACAAAATTCAACAGCTGGCCAAATTAATCTATCTCTTGGAAATCAGAAAGAAGTTGGCAGCAGCCAGAAGGGAGCATGGTATAGACTTCTGGGGTGCTGGTCTGGTTCTATTTCTTGACCCAGTGATGATGTGTGGGTGTTTCCTTTGTGATAATTAATCAAGCTGTATCCTTGTGATTGTTTTCTTTTTGTATATAATATGGTAAACTTTATTTTAAAAAACTTTATGGTGATTTCCAGTTTCAAGATATTCATATAATATTGGGATATCTCCTTTTCCTACTGGAAATCATCCCAAAACAACAAAGAAAAAAATAACAAAAACATAACTTCTATTCTCAATAAATCAAGGAAGGGCTAAAATCCCAAACAGCAAAATGTGTGAAATCCTGCCCAAAGCAGTCATCATCAAGTAGAGTACAAAGACCAAAGTGGAGCATAATGCTGATATAAATCTCAAAAAGAAGTAGTAAAATATTCTTCATGGCGAGCTGCACATGTTTAAACAGTATTATTGGTGCAACTCAAGGTGAGGCATCATTTTGGGGCCAATTATTCCTAATTTAAAGGAAAAGAATAAAAAATTTAAAATTTATATGTGATGAGCCAAAAACTTGTTAGAGCTTTCAAACTGTAACAAAAATAAGAAAGCCAAAGAAGCATCCTATACAGTAAGCTATGACCTTGCACTGGCTAGAAAAGGGCACACAAAATCCTAGAGTTTCATAAAGCTTTGAACAACCGACATTGCTGAATGCATACGTGGAACTGTAAGACCTACAGAAGCCCTAACAATTCAAAAATCTCCTTTTACGTGAATGACTGGCAATAAAGCAAGTGAGGTACACAGAGTGTTCAATGACATTTTAATCTAATTATGTGTTGGCATTTGCGTGGATGGCACAAAGACAACTGTGAACAAAATTGCCAGTGCCTCTGTAGGAACCTAGGAAGGTAGTTGCACTAAGCTGCCTTGTAAGCTCTTGCATTCTCCATTGCCATACCCTCATTGTAAAATGAATAATCAAAGCATTACTTCAACATCCTTGACGATAGAGTAAGTGTTGTTAATATCATTGCCCGTTGGTCTTTAAGTATACACCCTTTCACATTCTGAATGATCATATGGGAAACATACACAAAGCACTTCTGTGCATACTGAAGAGCAATGCTGGTCTCAAGGGAAAGTACTTAGAAGACTCCTGACTTGCAAGCTGAATGTACTACACTTTTTTTTTTTTAATAAAACACCATTTTCACTTGAAAAAACAACCAGCAAGACAACTAAACATTTTCAGACCTTGGTAGGAGACAAACATTTTCTCAAAAATGAAAGAAATAAGCCTGACTTCAAGGGAAACAACTGACAGTATTTACCAGCAATGATAAAATTCAAGTTTTCAAGTGAAAGTTAAGAGTTTTGAAAAACTTATATCTACTACAATGAGCTTCTCTGTTCTTAGACTTTCCTGACAGAAATGATTTTTTTTTTGACAGGCAGAGTGGACAGTGAGAGAGAGAGACAGAGAGAAAGGTCTTCCTTTTGCCGTTGGTTCACCCTCCAATGGCCGCCGCAGCCGGCGCACCGCGCTGATCCGATGGCAGGAGCCAGGTACTTATCCTGGTCTCCCATGGGGTGCAGG